GCCGCCGCCGCCGCCGCCTCTCGCCGCTCGGCTGGGAGCTCGCCCGCCGCCCGGCCCGCCCGCCGGCATGGAGTCCCAGTGCGACTACTTCATGTACTTCCCGGCTGTGCCCTTCCCGGCCCGCGAGGTGCTTCTGGGGGAGCCAGGCCGGTACCGGGCCTTGCCCCGGAGGAACCACCTCTATCTGGGCGAGACCGTCCGCTTCCTGCTGGTCCTGCGGTGCCGCTCGGATGCCGGCGGCGCTCCCCGGCCGCCCTGGGGGGAACTGGCAGGCTCGCTCTCGGCCCTGGCCAGCGTCAGCCCGGCTGGCGGCGGCGGCGGCGGCGGCGGCCTTGGAGACGAGGCCCTCCTTGGTGAAGCAGCGGAGGAGGGCGCGGCTGGAGCCGGGGAGGCGGCCGCCAATGGCAGCGTCTTCCGGGAGTGCCGGGCGCTCCTGACCCACGGCCACGGCGCCCCCGGAACGACGGCCGTGGCCGTAAGACCGGGACCGGGGCGGCGGCGGCGGCGGCGGCGGGGCTGGCTGCGCCCCAAGGAGCGTTCTGACCCTCGGCTCCCTCCTGCAGGTCCCCCCCGAGGAGCCCATCGTGTCCACCGACGAAGTCATCTTCCCGCTGACCATTTCTCTGGACCGGCTGCCGCCCAGCACCGTCAAAGCCAAAGTAAGCCCCCGCCTCGCCCCGCCCCGACCCCGCCGGCGCGCTCTCCGGGCGGGCTGGTCTGAGGCCGCTTCTCCCGCAGATCGTGGCGACCGTCTGGAGGCGCGACCGAGAGAGAGGCGAGGTCCGCGAGCGCGGCTACCTCAGCATCCTGCAGGATCGGGCCCCTTCCCAGATCTTCCGCGAAGAGCAGGGCGCCTTCAAGGCGCAAGGTGAGCCTAAAGGGCGGGGGGGCGGGCGGGCGGGCGGCCTCCTGCGCTGCCCCCGGGGCGGTGCGGAGCTGACGCCTCCGTCTCTGCCCTCGGTTTGCAGTGAGCACCATGCTGACCGTGCTGCCGCCCCCGGAGCTGAAGTGCCAGCAACTCAACGTGTCCGGGAAGCACTTGACGGTGCTCAAAGGTGCGTTTGAGGAGGGGAGGGGAGCTCCGTCTCTCCTGCAGGCAGGCAAGGCAGTCGGCCTGCCTTCCCTCCCTCCCTCCCTCCCTCCCTCATGCGTGGCTTTGCCCCGTCTCCCTTCCCAGTTCTGAACGCGGCCTCCCAGGATGAGCTCTCGGTGTGGGACGTGCGGATCCTGCCCAACTTGAATGCCAGTTACCTTCCCATGATGCCAGACGGCTCTGTCTTGCTAGTTGACGATATCTGGTAAGAGGGCCAGCAGGGAGGGAGGGTGTGTGTGAGAGAGAGAGGGGGGGGGGGATTTAAGCGGCATTCCCTGCTTTTGAGCAGCCCACATCCCACCTTTCCCTGAGCTGCATTTCCCTAGGCCCAGTTCCAGGGCTGGCACGGGAGAGCCATAGCAGGGCCTTAGTTACAGCCCGTTTGAACCCCCCTCACAGGGCTGTTGTTTCGTTGTGGGGAAAACAGGAGGGGGAGGAAGGTGTGTTGGATCCCTTCGCTACCTTATTTTTAAAAACAATAAAGGGGGAATAAATAAATGTGCTCCTCTCTCACCTTGCACCATGGGTGATTTCTTGCTCCTTGGAGGAGGCTGTGAGGAAGGTATCCTTCCGGGGGGGGGGGGGGCTTGGGCTACCCTGAGGAGGCAGGAGGAGAAGCTGCCTCCGAGAAGGAGAACCCGCCAGGAGCTGGGAAGGGAGCTTCTTGCATGGTGGAATCTGGCATGGGATCCTCCGCTTTTCCCAGCGGGGAGGGCTGTGGGCAGAGGCAGGGCTGCATCCCCCAGGCCTAGAATTGGGCAGGGAAGCGTGTGTGGTGTGTGTGTGTGTGTGTGTGTGAGGAGGGGGCTGGGCCGCAGGCTTTCCTTGGGCTGCTTCTGTTCCCCCTCCCCACAGCCACCAATCCGGAGAAGTCTCCATGGCCTCCTTTTGCCAGGTGCCCTCAGCCAACTCTGCCTGGCCCTGCTCCCTCCGGGCGCTGGAGGAGCAAAATTTCCTTTTCCAACTGCAAGCGCCAGAGCAGCCCCCGGACCGCGCCAAAGAGGTGAGATTCTCCCTCCCCTGGACCCCAAGGGCTCCTCCTCCTTGCCTGGGCACCTGCAGCCCCGAGCGGGAGAGGGACACGGGGGGGGGGGGGGGGGGCTACCTCTCCTTCTCCTCTGGCACTTGCAGGGCCTGGAGGTCCCCCTCATTGCGGTGCTGCAGTGGTCGACCCCCAAACTCCCATTCACGAGCAGCATCTACACGCACTACAGGTGAGCAGCTCTCCCTTCAGGCCGGAAAGGACTCCGCCAGCCCCCTAGGGTGGGATCAGGGCCCCCCTTTTTCCTGCTGGGGATCCCCCTGGTGTGGCAGCCCAGCACTTACTTTGCCTTCACAGCCACCTGGCCAGAGTTGGCTCATCCGGCAGCCGCCTGCTGGAAGCACCCCTGAATTCTGTCCTTCTGCTGTTCTAACGCTGTCCCCCCAAAACTGTAGCCTGCCAGAGGAGGAGGAGCCTCCTGTCCCAAGTGGGCGGTCTGACGTCCAGACACCCTCAAGCAGCCCTTCAGGGGGGAGAAGATTCAAAGCCTGGTTCAGAAATGTAGAGGCCACTTTTAGTGTATTCCTTACACAGGCGCTGCCCCCTTTTTTTTCGGGGGGGGGGGGGGGGGGGGGGTTATGCCATTTAGAGGCGGAGGGAGGGGCCCAGCACCAGAGGAGCTGGCCTTCCTGGGTCAACCTTGGCAGCCAAAGCTCCAGGGGTCTCACTCACCGCCGGGAGGGAAAAGCTGGAGGACGGAACCAAAGGAAGGCGGCCTCCAAGCCAAGAGCTCCGGGGCTTCAGGCAGGCTGTGCCCTCGCTTTCCCTCCTAGGCTGCCCAGCATCCGCCTTGCCCGCCCCAGGTTTGTGATGACTGCAGAATGCGAGTCCCCGGTCGCCGTGCATCGGCGCTTCGTGGTCACGTACACCCTCATCAACAACCTGCAGGACTTCCTGGCCGTGCGCCTGGTGTGGACACCAGAAAGTGCTGCAGCAGGTGAGCTGGGGGTGGGGGGGGGGGGTGGAGGAGGCTCCTGGGAGCATCACCTCTTTTAGGCTTGGCCCACGGTGCAGCGGCCGGTGGCCTGGGAGGGCAGGCCGGGAGCTGCACAGGCCTCTCCCCGCCCCCCGCAGCCCGGGCACCGATTGGGTTTGGGGGCCTGGTGGGGGTCTTTGGGCCCCTCTTGACCGCCCTTGCTCTTCCCCCCTGGGTCCCTTAGGGAAGAAGCTGAATGCCTGCGACGAATGTCACGCCACCCCAGACCCCCAAGACTCCATTGTGTGCCACACCCCTCTCAACAACCTGGGATTCTCCCGCAAGGGCAGCGCCCGCACCTTCTGTGTCACCTTCCAGGCTCTGCGTGCTGGCTTGTTTGAGGTAAACGTCCCCACGTGCTGCACAAGACAAGCATGGATCAGTTGGCTCCACAAGCCAGGATCCTCCTGCCAATTGCAATGACCAATCTTGGTCCCATCCAGTTTCAACATTGCACAGCAGGAGGATGGCAGACCAACCAAGACGACTCTTCTCTCTTCTCTCCCCCCCCCCCCAGCTGTCCCAGCACATGAAGCTGAAACTCCAGTTCACCGCCAGCGTGTCCAACCCGCCTCCAGAGGCCAGGCCGGTCTCCCGCAAAAGCAGCCCCGGGAGCCCGGCAGTGCGGGAGCTGGTGGGGCGTCATCAGGCCAGCCTCGGGCGCTCCCAGAGCTTCTCACACCAGCAGCCGACACGGGGACACCTCCTGAGGTGGGTGCTGTAGAGGAAGCTGTCTTTCGGGGGGGTGGGGGGGGCAGGAAGGAAGGAAGCGGCTGGAGAGGCCCCCATACGGGGCTCTGCAGGCCTCAGCTGGGAGGAAAAGGGCGGGACTTCCTCCCTGCTCACCTCTCTCCCCCTCCCCCCTCCCGATAGGTCAGGAAGCGTCATGGAGCGCCGGGCCATCACGCCCCCTGTGGGCTCCCCAGTGGGCCGCCCTCTTTATCTACCCCCGGACAAGGCTGCCCTGTCCCTTGACAAAATTGCCAAACGAGAGTGCAAGGTGCTGGTGCTGGCGCCCGTCACATGACCGAGGAGGGGAGGCCCCAGAAGGGGCAGCACTGGGAACCAACCCACCGGACGCGCCACCCAGCCTCAGAACCAGACCTGCTCCAGACACCTGAACTTCACAGGATGGACCCCCTCCTGCCCCCCCCCCCCCCCCCCCCCCCCAATTCACCTCCTCCAATGGGAGACTGCTCAGCTTCTCTGCTGGCTGAGGGGGGGCTGCTTGCCCCTCTCGCCCACCCTCTCTCTTCCTCCGGCTGAGAAGCAGCAAGGAGAGATTTTCACTGGGGGGGGGGGGCTCTTTTTTAAAGCCAAGAGGAGGCGGCAGCGCCTGCATGCCCCCCCCCCACCCCCCAACCAAGGTACGGACAGCAGCAGAGGTCCCCACTGAAAGGCACCTCCAGCCCCTGCCGACAGGAGGAACCTTCCGCCTTCCCGCCCTGCACTGGGCCACAGGACGGGACCTGGAGGCTCCCAGACTTGGCTGCATTCCTAGACGGGGGAGGGCCAGTCTCTAGCCCCCTCCCTACCTCACCCTCCCAGGCCAAGGCCACTTTCCATTGCACTTTATTTAATTTTTGTTATTTATATTTTTTATTTGCTCAGAAGCAACTCCAACTCCATGTATGTGCTTACAAATAAACTGCACTGGCTGGCCGGCAAGTAACACGCTTCCTGGATCTCTTTGGGGTCCTCTGGCACCGTCCCTCTCCCGCCGGTGGGTTCACCTGGTCTCCAGGCAGCCTCCGCTCTCGGTCTGCACTGCTGGCCTAGATCTTCCCCTGGTTTCAGGCAGCCCAAAGCATCCAAGGTGGAGACCGCAGACGGCACGGAAGAGGCTGGGCAGGCGCTTCTCCTCAGGGCGATGCCTGCCAAAGCAGCCCCTTGGCCGGAGCGCCAGGCAGGGAAAGGCGCTGCCCCTTTCGACACCCTAAGGGGCGTTTGTGGGGGGTGGGAAACGCCCCCCCCAATAGGGACCAGAAGCGGAAGGGGGGAATGGGAGGCACCAACGCGGCTTCCAGGAAGGAAAGAAGGCAGGGAAGGTCCCCCTCCCCTCCCCTGGGGACTGCCCCCCCCTCTCCCCCCTCCCTGCCGTTGGGGGAGGGGAGGGGGGACCGCAGAGCAAGCCTGCTTCCACGTGACGGGGTGGGGGGAGGGGATGGGACGGGGGGAGGGGGGGGCCGGAGCAGCGGAGGGATCCGGCACCGCCGCTCAGACGACCACGGGCTCCGGGACGCTGTTGAGCCGCTTCACCACGAAGAGCTTCTGGCCGGAGACGGTCGCCAGCAGGGAATGTTCCCCGAAAACCACTGCGGGGAGAGGAGGAGGAGGAGGAGGAGGGGCGGCGCCGGTCAGCGGAGGCCCCCCCCGCACCCCGCCCTCGCCCCGCCCCGCCGGGACGCTCACCGGAGAGGCGGCGGAAGGGCAGCTCCGGGCCGCGCGGGAGCCGGAAGGCGCAGGCCGTGCTCACCAGCTCCGCCATCGCGCCCGCCGTGCGCTCGTCGTTCTCCAGGTCGCCGGCCGACTGCGGGGAGAGGCAGGTCAGCGGCGGCAGCCGCGGCGCCCCCACCCCTCGCCCCCTCCCGCGCCGCCCCTCACCGCCAGGACGGCGCCGTCGCAGATGACCAGGTAGCCCGTCTGCTCCGGGATGCGCTCCAGGCCCTGCGTGAGGGCCGCCGCCGCCGCCGCCGCCTGCCGGGAAAGCAGCGCTCGGCCCGCCCGGCCGCCGAGCCCTCCCGGCCGACGCCCGACGCTGCGCGTGCTGAGCGGCCCGGTTTGCGCGGGGTGCCGGTCACCCGCCGGAGGCCGCCCTGGTGCCGCCGCCGCCGCCGCCCCGCTCCGGGCTGGTTGCACCCTCAGTTTAGTTTGATTTCCTTGCTTGTCCTTGCACCTCGTACAACGGAACCCAACGCCGTCTTCACGACCATGAAAATAAACCCAAACACGCGTCCTCCACCCTTCTTCACACATTGCACCGCACCCACCCTGCCCTCTGCAGCAGAATTCAGCAGAGCTGCTGCCCTGGGACAGAAGCTGCTTTTCAGCCTCTTCGTCCTGGTTTCTATTCTCCTGTACCGTCTGCCAGGTGGGAATAGTTCCCCCCAAAGGGGCTCCCAGGTTGAGGGGGATCTTTTGAACTTTCTTAAGGCAGCGGGAGCTCTCAAGCTCTTGCAAAGAGGGGAGGGGGCAACCCAGGATCCTCTGAGGGGCAACGACCTCAACCCTCTGGAGCGCTTTCCTGTCTGGCCCTGCGCAATTGGCAAACCACGCAGGTGTGCAGGAAGTTAAGATACTCTCTCTGGGGCAGCGGGAGAAGGTCCCCAGCAGTTTCTCATCAGGTTGTTGTTTTCTGAGAAGCCTCAGGTAGTAGAATCTCTGCTGGGCCCTTTTGACCAGGGCTGCAATGTGGGCACCCCAGGTCAGGTCCTCTTTTAGGGTAACACCCAGAAACTGAAAACTGGCCACTTGCTCCACTCCAAGGTCTCCATAGATAGGCAAGGGCTGGAGGTCTGATCTGTTCCTTCTATAATCCACTATAAGCAATAACCAAGTTATTGTCTCCCCACCACGAAAGCAACGGGTCCACCTCATCTCGGTAGGCAGACTCATAACTTTTCCCTTATGGACACCGAGAGCGTTTGCACCAAGACAGATTCCTTGGGTGTCCAATCACACTTGGCCAATAAAAGAATTCTATTTCTATT